TCATAGGTGCGCGTGGATCCCAAGACTTGCTCCTGTCCACAGTTCACAAGTCCTTACTGTGCCATTCCAGATTATACGCACTAGGGCTTCTGGGACATTCTTGGGACTGTCCCAGCTCAGATTGGGGGGGCCGCTCAGATTACTTTAAGGTGTGACTATCTGCATTCCGTCGCTTTGATTCAGAAGGTTTTAATTTCCTTTTGGTGAAATTCTGGAAAAATCAAGTCATTTTTACTGTGAGGTTAGTTCAGAAACATTCATTTGTATTCTTTGTCACAGAAGGAATACGCTTCTTTAGTGTTAAACGACTCGTTGATCTGATAACTTCAGTGAGATGACTTCCGCTTTCGAATTCATCAGTTGTACGTACGCTGTGTGTATTTGATAGTTTCCACAAAGCTTTCGATATTAATGAGTGTGGTTGTTATCTTGCAGGAAAAATTTACAGTCAAGGTGTAATTTGTTATTGATTAATACTCATTCCAGGTAAGTATCATAGAAAACGTATGACTTACAAGTTTATAAATCAAGTTCCGAAGCTCCCCCGCCCCCGGCCTCTCAACCGTTCTCTTGATTCGTTTATACGTCCGACTTGTTTCTGAATCAAGGATTAGTCTTACTCCTGATAGCCTGTTGTTATGTTCAAGGTGTCCTTGCCCTCGTGTCTATGGTCCTGTCTAGTTTGATTTATACTTATAGCAAATTACTTCGGAAAATCGATCTTTGCTGTGTACTTCCTGGCTGGTGATGGGGAAGGGATTGGGGGGGAAGGGGACGCCGGAGCTCCCGGGACATTCTTGGGACTGTCCCAGTTCAGATTACTTTAAGGTGTGACTGTCTGCATTCCGTCGGTTTGATTTGGAGGTTATTTTCCTTTTGGTGGAATTCTAATAAAATCGAGTCATTCTTAATGTGAGGTTAGTTCAGAAACAATCATTTGTATTCTTTGTCACAGATGGAATACGTTTCTTTAGTGTTTAACAACTCGTTGATCTGATAGCTTCATTAAGATGACTTCATCAGCTATACGTTGTGTGTATTTGATAGTTTCCACAAAGCTTTCGATATTAAGGAGTGCTGTTGTCATCTTGCAGGAAAAATTTACAGTCAAGGTGCAATTTGTTATTGATTGATACTCATTTCAGGTAAGTATCATAGAAAACTCATTATACATCCACCTTATTTCTGAATCAAGGATTACTCATACATGTACTCTTGATAGCCCGTTATGTTCAAGGTGTCCTTACCCTCGTGTCTACATGTATGGTCCTAGCTGTCTAGTTTAATTTATACTTAGAGCAAATTACTTTGGAAAATCAATCTTTGTTGTGTACTGCCTGGCTGGTGATGGGGAAAGGATTGGGGAGGGGATGGCACATCAGAGGTAAACTTTCTAAATCATTGAAAATGAGCCTGAATCCACCTGGAAATTAGAAAGGTTATAACTGTAAAGAAAGAGGAGGAGATGGATGACTCCTTCAATGCTCTGTTTAAGAAATCAGATATCTTTTAATCAGCATTTTCACCTTATAAAAATAACTTTGAATTGTTCAGCAAGTGTCAAAAATAATTTTGCATAGACCAACAGAACAACTCTAAATGGTCTGCAGGCTACAAACATTATTTCCAGATGTAAGCAACAACACAACATTCTGTTCAAGTGACTAATCATCAAAAATTTATTTTTAAAGGGGAACTCAAGGCTAATTTTAACTATTTTTTGTATTGATGTTAACATAGGATGGATCAATTTGACAGCGATAATATATATCGACGATGAATGATTTTATGAAAAAATCGATNTGGCACATCAGAGGAAAACTTTCTAAATCATTGAAAATGAGCCTGAATCCACCTGGAAATTAGAAAGGTTATATAACTGTAAAGAAAGAGGAGGAGATGGATGACTCCTTCAATGTTCTGTTTAAGAGACCAGATATCTTTTAATCAGCATTTTCACCTTATAAAAATAACTTTGAATTGTTCAGCTAGTGTCAAAAATAATTGTACAACGAACAACAGAACAACTCTGAATGGTCTGCAGACTACAAACATTATTCTGTTCAAGTGACTAATTATCAAAAATTTAGTTTAAAGATGGTACATATATCAGTGTCTCTTTCCACCCAGGTGTATAAATGGGTACCAGCATGCTTGGGAGAAACCCTGTGATGTTCGCACTAGCGGGTAAATTTCACGTGCTAAATTAGGCATAGTGATTAAGACCTAATTGAGACATAAACAATTGAAATGTTGATTTTCTTCATAGTTAATTGAAAAGTAAATGCAAAATTGCCACTGAGAGGAGGAAGTTCTTGTCGCCAACATTTATTCGTGAATGCATGCCATCATATTGGTGGCAATTTCAACATACAAAATATTGCTGTGACTGAAGAGGAAGAAATTCCAGTTCCCAAACATTTAGTCATGAAATTGAATGTTTGTGATCATATTGGTTGCAATTTTGAACTCTGCTTAGACAGTTGTTTGACTGAGAATTATCAGCAAAATTGTCTGGGAAGATTTAAAAGCATAAGCACTGGTAGGTCTCTTTTGTTGGATATTGTAGGGAGTCAAACAAAGAATCCCAGAGGACTGCAGATGTAAAACTAGTGAGGCAATCTCAGATAGTGCAGTGTAGTGCAATTGATAGCTCTAGCACGGTAGTCCGAAAAGCACCCACCCCTGCTCGGTTCACTTCTGGTTTGTATCTACCATGGTAGTCTGCTAGGACTTTTCCCCTTAGCAGTGTGTATGTTTCAAGGTTGTATTTTCATTCGAGGTCCAAGAATTACGTACAATTACTGTTTGTCACAACAGCTTTTAAATTTTACTCTGGTGTTTACGATGATTTTTGTTCATTTTAATTTCAATAATATGTTGAACAAATGAGGCAATTTAGCTCTTCGTGCTTTGTAACTTGATACTTTTGTTTTCCTCGCAAAGGTATGTAGCACAAAAACCTTGTTTCCTCCAAAACCCACAGAAGATGTGCTTTTTTGGGGGGATAAAATAATGAAAGAAGGTTAAATACATGTATGTGATGAAGAAATGGAAGAGAAACGATTTTGTTTTTTCTGAAAGCGCAAATTTTCTTATCACTGATAAACAAGAACTAATTTAATTATCAGATAGTCACAGAATACCACTTTCATTTTCTGTTGCCACCTTTTGTTGTTAACAATGAAACAATTCCAAATTAATACACAACACTATTGATTGATACAACTGAGAAGCGTTTCAATGAGAAGTATTAAAGGTAAACAACGTTACTTGGCCGATATTATCCTGCATTGGTGAGCGAGTCTCCTCAAAGACTGATTAAATTAATTTGGGCTTTCATTAGGTGCCACAGAGTCTGCAGCAATATTTAAGCACTTTCCTGGTTTCTGTCACAAAATTACAAATTGCAGAATACCAGTATTAAAGCCACTAAATCGCGAACTTTTTGGTGTCTCTTACAGACACAATTAAGGCAAGAAATAGACAAGCCGCTAAGGGTGCTTATCCAAAGGGGGCACTTAATCTTCACAAACTGAAACAATGCACAAATCTAATACTACATGACTAAAACTATACATCTTTTGTCTGATTACTTGTCCACAAAATGGGGGGAGGGGAGGGGACGGGGTGCTCATTTGAGGGGTGGTGCTTATTTCAAATTTTGGCCGATAGGAGGGGNTCTGGCACAGTAGTCCCAAAAGCACCCACCCCTGCTTGGTTCACTTCTGGTTTTATCTACCATGGTAGTCTGCTAGGACTTTTCCCCTTAGCAGTGTGTATGTTTCAAGGTTGTATTTTCGTTCAAGGTCCAAGAATTACGTACAATTACTGTTTGTCACAACAGCTTTTAAATTTTACTCTGGTGTTTTACGATGATTTTTGTTCATTTTAATTTCAATAATATGTTGAACAAATGAGGCAATTTAGCTCTTCGTGCTTTGTAACTTGATACTTTTGTTTTCCTTGCAAAGGTATGTAGCACAAAAACCTTGTTTTCTCCAAAACCCATAGAAGATGTGCTTGTTTTTGGGGGATAACATAATGAAAGAAGGTTAAATACATGTATCTGTTGAAGAAATGGAAGAGAAACGATTTTGTTTTTTCTGAAAGCGCAAATTTTCTTATCACTGATGGACAAGAACTAATTTAATTATCAGATAGTCACAGAATACCACTTTCATTTTCTGTTGCCACCTTTGTTGTTAACAATGAAACAATTCAAAATTAATACACAACACTATTGATTGATACAACTGAGAAGCGTTTCAATGAGAAGTATTGAAGGTAAACAACGTTACTTGGCCGATATTATCCTGCATTGGTGAGCGAGTCTCCTCAAAGACTGATTACATTAATTTGGGCTTTCATTAGGTGCCACAGAGTCTGCAGCAATATTTGAGCACTTTCCTGGTTTCTGTCGCAAAATTACAAATTGCAGAATACCAGTATTAAAGCCACTAACTCGGGAACTTTTTGGTGTCTCTTACAGACACAATTAAGGCAAGAAATAGACAAGCCGCTAAGGGGAAGCTGTACATTTCCCGTCTGTATTTAAACCCTGGCAAACATACTATTGTAGTTTGAAAACAGCAGATAATATTTGTTGAACCAACCTGTGGGTAATTCTAAAAGATATGTTTCACTTCTGTACTGAAAAGGGACAAGTGGCGCTAAGTCCTGACATCACATTACATATAAAAAAAAGCGCGTGGATACCGTAAATCCTCGAATTTGTACTTGGGACACTTATTTCAAATTTAGGAGAAGACCGGGGGTGCTTATTCAAAGGGGGCACTTAATCTTGGCAAACTGAAACAATGCACAAATCTAATACTACACGACTAAAACTATACATCTTTTGTTGTCTCATTACTCATCCACAAAATGGGGGGAGGGGAGGGGAGGGGGTGCTCATTTGAGGGGTGGTGCTTATTTTAAATTTTGGCCAA